CGACCGACTTTGGGTTTTGTCTTCTTCTTTGAAAAATTCCGAACCACTTTGAGAAAAATGGATGGTTTCCCAGACTCAACTAAGCAATTTTTCATTACACACCATCGGCACAAGCAAAAACCACGTACATTCTATGTTATGAAAATAAAAGTTCGTTTGATACGTTTGTAGTAAAAACTCAGGTAATTGGATTAACTAGGCGAACTGTTTGTGTATACAGTAAGTAGGGGACGGAAATAATAATGTATTGAATAACAAAAGCGTTCTTAAGGCCCGCTTTTCATCATCAGAAACACACAAGGATTCAAAATTTCGAAATTGAAATTACTTGCTTCATTGTGAAATAATTTCGGGAACTTGTACATCTATTAAGCAAAGGTATAGTAAGATGTTTGTTCAAAGCAAGTAGGTTGATTTTCTTTATCTTGGAGTGACAAAACGATACGGCCTGAAACTTCCGCACACAATTTTTATGCAACACTGTACATATACAAAAAACAAAAATGGTCATTATTCGTATCCATAAATACTTTTAGGACATTGACATAATTTTTCTGTATTATTTCGAGACAAGTGATTCGGCCCCCTCAATTATTATAAAAATCAGCAAGAAACTAATTACTAAAATATCAGATCTTTATAACAATAACGTGTTTCTCTAGTCCAAAATGGAATAGCGGGCCCTAAGAGAAGCACATGGTGCTATGAAGACTCTGCTAAAAAATAACGTTCATGTGACAAAGCAGCGCATAGGCACCAAAATACCTTCTTTTTCATTGTAATAATGAGTAATGAATAATGAATTTGAATCAGATCAATATTGATCTGGAGAAACTTGGTTAGCTGAATTTCCATATGGACAATAAACCAACAAAAATATTTTAGTTACTAACTAATACAACCATTTTGTGATCCTCTGTGAATCTGAAAAGTTATTTAATATCCTAATATGTATTGAGATCTAGCAATATTTAAAATATATATATTCACGCTCATTCTTCCATAGTGTCAACAAATTTCTTTACCAACATTACGTCAATTTCAACAATCAAGTGTTGTCCAAGAGGTATTTATATTCATGGGACTAGTCAACCTATAAATGAATCAAAACTTCAAAAGGGATAACATATTTTGGTTGAGGTCAAAGTTGATAGAACTGATAGGTATACTTCTTCTTTTCGTTTCATTCACCTCTTCCTATGATATCTTTTTCTCTGATAATGTAATGTATTTGTTTACATGGACAAAATAATATTTTTCAGAAAATTTTTGAAGAAACAGGTCTTTGCCAACTGGTGTGACTGAAAATGTTCTCATTCTTCAATGTTTTGGGATGATAAAACTAAATATGACAAAATATTGAAAAACCAGCATATTATCTACAGTCATTTCTAAATATTTACGTGGTTCACTCTCTCACAATTTCATTCAAAAATGCACAATATATTCCATATCCCGAGTTTATATTGGTCCCAATGAATCGTGTGATACATCATATTATGCATGAGCATCGGCTTGCAAGAAACATAATGGGATAGGTACCATGCTATTCAACAAAGTACAGTGCGTCCAATTTTGTTCGATACCGCCAGGTTAGGTTAGGTTTCTCGGCTGATATTGAAGATAAAGCATTGCGCTTTTCACTCTTTTTTGAAACTCAAGACGGCCTAACAGATTTTCCCAAACTGTTTCCTTTTATGAGATACAGGGCGAGTTTGAAAGTTCATACTTTATGAACCCGTTCTATATCTACGTAGTTATACAGAATAATGTTACACTAAGCACTGAGTCTAACAGACAGAATCCAGTGGCGTACTCAAAAATTTCTTTCGTGGTTCGGTTTTGGATATTATGTCGTATCTCGTAACTTATATATTTTTCAATACACCCAGTATTTTATTATTTCGTTGAATTTTTTATTTCTTCCTATCCTAAATGATATATAATACTTCCAGAAAAGCTGAAAAAACACTAAAACATTGAATTATGATGAATTTCTGCTAGTGATGCATGGATCCATGGAAGTTCGACTTGAGGAATATTATTATATGTAATTCATTGTGTACTATATTGATTAGATACTTCTTCTATTTCTTATATGTATTATGAATTATATATCATTATTTATTATTTGTCATTTTTAGGTCCCTACCTACGTTTAATGATTGGCGTAAGTTAATTAGTGTTAGTATAATATGTCTTTTTTTCGCCTCATCTTTTTATAAAAACATCGTAAATGACACTGTACATATCGAATAACGAGTATCAATTCATCACATGATTCATTATGACCAATGAAAAAGTCATGTTCAACTATGATATTTTATCCAAAGTGTTCATTTGTAACTCACATTGAACAAATATCGTCAAATCCTATGGTTGTATAGTTCGATACTCCAGAGATTTCAAGAATACTGTAACTCTGTAAGTCTGTATTATGCACTTGTTCGATTTCATTCATTAATTCAGCAGTCAACAAACTCGAAGAGAGTACCATTCAAATGTAATCCTTTTCAAAACAATCAATAACTTATCTGACTTCCATTATTTAACGCAAAGAATTCAATTTAACGTTCCAAGAATAGCGTCCCGAGTGAATCGAACTTTTTACTTGCCAACTCCACGCACGAACATAGGTAGACACTCTCCAGTACAAAGAATCTGTGAAAATTATAATGATCACTGTACAGCTTCTGACATTTTTCATACAACAATCCAGCAGATTCTTGTTTACTTATATTCCTTTATTTCTTAGTTTGTAATTGGAATTATTCTGTGAACTTAGTAAATAGATAAATGAAATAAAAAAATAAAGTATTATGATTCACCGCTGTTTTGTCACATATTCTCATGTCTTTCATAGCAGAGCCGGTGCTAAAGTGTGATGGACATTATGGGATGAGAGGGAAGCAGAAGTAGCGCAGTAATGAAGGCAACGGGAGAAACACAAAGGACATCACCAATGCAGCCGAGCCTTCGAAGGCAGTATGAGAGGAGCGGGCCGAGAGGCCGCTCCGGACGGAAGAAAGAAAGAATATCTAGCACGAAGACATTCCCTATTACCTTTCGTTGACCAGTTTATCACAGAAAGGGTTTCTAGGTCTTCGCTTCATTATATCTGATTCTGCCTCCTCGTATGCCAGCGAAATGGCAGGGACCTGATATCGGCCAAACAAACACATGTCAAGAAAAACAAAAACTATACATCCAATAACTAATATAATACGGCCATCAGAGATTGTTAGCTAGATATGGAGAAACATCAAGCTACTCTGTTCGAATGCTCTCAAAGGATGCCATTGAGGACTCTAAGGATAAGGGAGATGTGCATAACAGCAGACACTGGTAAAACAACCTAGAAATTGTTCCTTAAATTCTGTTCGAAAAATGTTCCACTGAACTTGAAGTATATTCACTAGTATTCACAATTTGTCACTGAAAACTCTTACTATACTGAATAGATGAGCTTGCTGCCTCAAAAAAACAATTTGAGTTGTTCAACCTTCAATGTTGTCGTAACGACATCTTCATTTGTTTCTAATGATTTTACGATTTCATTGACACGTTATAGGTTAGGAATTCTAAAGCATTACTTATTGTGTTTGAGTTATTTGCATTCGAATATTTTTAAATGTGATATGCAATTATGCAAATTCAACCATTTCGCAATTGATGAGTATTCACTATATATTTTGACATATCACATAATAATTGATGAGAAATTCCATAGCTGGGTGTTTTTCAACAAACATCCGTTCGTTTTGAGATAAGTGATGGGCCATATATTAGTTTATTAGATGTATGCAACAAACACACAAAATGGAAAGACCATGAGAGGGCGACACTTACATGCTAGCACTGCTCCTTGATTTTGACTAGTCTAGCGAACGATGTGATTTTATTTTGAACGTGACCTTTATCAACTTTTCTTCGATGTTGGTAGTCAATAATTATTTTCAATAAAAAAAACTGTCCATGAAATTCGATTTCGATGAATTTCTTTAGTGTAAGAGTAATTTTGTGCGGTAATTCCTTTAGGTATTCAAAATTAGATATTATTGATTGAAAAATCAGAACAGACTGTATTTTTCTTATTGCGACATTTTGACACAAGTTTGAGCATAGGGTTTTTTACAAATGTTGACCACAAAAAAATATCTGAAACATCAACTCATGATACATCGTAGAATTCAGAAAAGTCATCGAAGTTTGCTATAAAAATATCAATCTATTGAAATAGAGCTGTTTTTTGCTCCAGAACCAGTTTGTAGTGTTTCTCAAGCCTTCAATTTTGTTTGAATATTCTCAGAAATTAGGTTTTTCAGAATGAGCATATTGAGCAATGAATTGAACAATTGGACGATAATATCTGGACTCAGTGATTCTTTTCTACCAACAACCAAAGAAAAAGGATCTGATAATGTGGATTCCTACTATGATTCTAACAACTGATGCGAATCAACACGCTTTTCTGTGAAGAAGTAAATTGACATTCTGTTCGGTGTGAAAATCAAATCAACATATATTATTATCTAAGACTACGGTCTGAACAAGGCTAAGTGCTAAGCAAGGCATCTACGCGACATGGGAAGAGGGTGTGTATTTTTGTGTCGGTTTGTTCTTACAAAATACGATGTTAAAACATTTCATAATACCACCCCAAATTGGTTAAATCAATATTGGACCCAAGTTTGTTTTGCTCCATGCTGTTTTTGTGTTAATTTTCAGGCATCAGAAAAAACTTACAGTACCCTCATTTCCACCGGTTCAGTCATTTTAGATTCGTCGCTGATTCCAATACAGAATGCAAATCGCTAAACCATATCCCCAAGCTGAAAGCTTCAATAAGCTTCTTTTTGGCTAAAATGACTGAACTACCCAATATGTTTTGTACAAAATATATCCAAGGATTAGTAATTATTATTAGTGGTATATCAAAATGATTAGATATGGTTATAAAAAAACAATTATAATAAAAAATAAAGAAAAATAGACTGCACCTAGCATTGACAAGATTATCGTTTTTGGGATTTCTTGGGGGTCTCTTCATAATGTCAGACTCAGCTTCTTCATATGCCAAAGAAATAGCAGGCACCTAAGAGTGGTTTGAAAGAAAACAGATAAGTAAATAAGAAATAAAATAATAAAATAAATGTGAAGTCAATATCACAAGTTTTCATAATAGTGAGAAAGATGAGATAAAAAAGATCTGCCACCAACAATATAGAAACTTTGTATTTAACCATAACGAACTCACACTGAAACTGTTTCGAAATACTCAATAATACTTATATTTGAACAAAAGTAATGTTGGTGAGAGATGAAGATAATTTGGTAGCTTAGCCTAACTAGAGAGCTTAAATCAATTGAGCTTAATGTGAGAGAATAAGATCAGAAAATTGAAATATTAGCAGATAAATAAGAATTTTGAGAAGACGTACCTTTGGCGTTTGTGACCTCCATAATTTTTTTCATCGAGAAAATATTGAATCTACTGAATAAATGATTGATAGAGAAAGATGCACTGTAGTATATAACATTCAAACATTACAAATTCGGGCATATGTTCTTTTTTAATAGTTTATGGACTCTCATTCTGTTTTTTGTTGGAATGGTCAATAAAATTACATATTATTATTATTATTATTATATTCGTAGGAAATGAGAAATCTCATCTTCAAACCTAGTTTCCTAATATCCTTCAAGAATTCCTGTACAAATACTGGTATCCCAAATATTCAAATTATTCCTCATTGCTGACAATATGCAATATTAGCCAAGTTGATATGACATCTAACAGGGTGTCTGTGAAAAGTCATTACGAAAACATACCACATATTCCCTAGAGCGAAATACGCAAATTCAAGTTAAAATACCTCAATTTGGGCGCGATAGGGCCTTGAACTTTCGAATCCCATATATATTTTTTGTACAACTGACGTATTTAGTTCATAGCTGGTTCATAGGTATGTAAATTAAAAACAGATTTCCTTCACATAATGTGTTAAATCAAAAGTGAAACAATGGTAGATGAAATTTGTTCAATGTAAACACCAGTTACCTACAAATAAGGAATTATCCATGAACATTATCATGTATTCGACATATGATTATTTTTTATAATTTCCGATCAAATTTGCATTAGGATTACGCGTACCTACTTGAAAGTACGAATCAAATTCGACGTTGACAGTTTGATTCAAATGTGTCAACATCAGAAATTTTAATTTAATACAAAATATCATCCTCTGTCCTAATGAAAGAATAAGTTCAAGGATTTCCTTATTTGAACCTCTGTATGCACTGATAATCTTCTTGATTTTCATCACATATGCATAATAAAATGATAACTGAAGAAAATACATAGGTTCTTATTGAAATCGCATTGTTAATGATTATGGCTTATAACAAAATATTTAGAACCACCAGTTTGCTATCAAAATAAAACTTATTTGATTATTCAACCTCTGTATCAACTGATTGATCTTCTTGAATTTCATCACAAAGGCCTAATAAAATGATAGCAGAAGACAAAACATACCTTCATATTGAAATCGCATAGCTGATGATTATGGCTTTAAATAAAATAACTAAAACCACCATTTTGCTATCAAAATAAAATGTAATCACATGAAAATCCAATAAATGATTACCTAATAGATTGTATTAGTTTTCCCGATTTTCCAGAAGCCACTCACACCAACTAGACCAACCCACGATAGAAAATGATCATAAACAAAACAATGTTTTTGAGGTTATGGTTCCTTCCGTCTCACTTTTCTGACCAGAGGCTTTCCTAACATCAATGAGAAAGTTTTCATACCTATAATCACTCCACATTCAGCGTCTACGTCATCATAGTTAATAGCTTTAAGAGTTATCAAATGATTTGAATTGTTTCAATAGTGATTCCAGTTGAAAGATATTTATCACTTGAACTTCTCCTTCACCAAAACCCTCAAGTTCTAAGCCTATCGACTGATATCAATTATAATTTTTGATATAGGATTATTGTTTCATAAAATTCTATCAATGTAGTAAGTTTCAGCATAATCGCAACTTCAGTGCCCAAGATGAGCACCTTCCAACAGAGGTAAGGTTTATTAAATTGACTTCCATTAGTCTAAGATTTATATGTGGTAGGTTATAGGGTTTTGTAAATACCTTCTACAGACACCCTGTGTACCCGAATAATTTCAGTGTCACAAATTTTAGAACGATATCTTAGTGCAAATTTCTCGTCTACTTCTACTGATATCCAAAGTGTTTCGATCTGATTCAAGGATAGTGCAAATTCAATTCAACTGTTTTCTCAATATCCTACATGCGATTGAATCATTTTTTTCGATACACGAATTCTGTTCGTAAATTATCGTTTGTACCTTTCGTTTACTAATTTATCATTCCATGGGTCACGTGGACGCCTTTTCATAATGTCTGACTCGGCTTTTTCGTAAGCCAGCGATATGGCCGGCACCTTTCACCCAAAAATGAAATGTTATTGAATCTGATGCCTTCCAATTTGGAACGTGGGGTAAAATAATACACTGATGATGGACCAGCCTCTTGTATATGAGCAGAGCATCAAGTAATCATAAATGATATTGAATAAACTGCAGTATAATTTCTTGCATAATATTTTTGAGACACTCAACTCTATAGCGTTTCTTAGTTTGAGCTTGCTTATCCCTAAGAGATACAAAGTCGGTTAAATTAGGGCAGAGTTGCACATTTTGCACGTAATATATTTTATTATTTCGAAAATTGCTACAATTCACTAACATAAAATTCTAGTGTAAACATTCGATAATTGCACATATTGTTTAATTGTCAAGATTGACAGATAAGTGCATTCCATTCAATAATCCCAGGAATATTCCAAAGTGTGTGATTATTTATTGCAATGCAATGCACAATTGGATATAGTTTCATGTTTTGTTTTTTGAAAAAATGTTGTACAGTTATTCCACCTAACGCCAAATTAGAGGACTACTACTAAACAACTGAGTATATTTCCTATATTTCCTTTCAAGGAACAAACAAGCCCTTCACGTTGATGAATAGCCCTTTCAGAAGCTGTTCCACCTCAGATCCTAACTTGATTCTGAGCAATTCGCCACCATATGAATCCCCCACATAACAGACGTTGCAATTTTAGAATATGATGGACACAAGAATCTGAGTCATTTGTAGTTTACTCGCTTTCTACGTTTTAATAAACATTCAGTTAATATTTGAGATTGTGTAGTCAGGAGTACAAGTCATATACTGATTCAAAATTCTTCAAAATCAAATTTTCATTTTCGAAATTTTCAAAATGAAATTCAAATTCGATATTTCGAATTATTTCCTGATGATATTGATGAAATGAATTTTGTATTAGTATTTATAGAAGTTCTGAACATAAGTATATGTAATGTTTGCTGTTAATTCTGTCATGCGCTTATGTGCGCACTCAAAATGACAGACTCAACAGGTCAAGAGGGGAGGGGATCCGACCACCATTTTCTCGCCGGCCGTCGTCCAGTGTACTGAGTGTACAGGGTGATTGTTTATATTTTCAATGGACATTCAGAATCGAGTACTAGAAAATGCAAGAAAGCATCGTGAACCACACAATTTCAGATGAGCTGGAATTTTTCAAACGGGACACCCTGTATTTTAATTCAACAGTATGTTTAGTTCGCAACAATAAATCGTCTATGATGCGATTGTAAGTTCTACTCGCCAAAACAACAACAGTCATTGATTCATAACGCTGTCAAATTGTATAACCATCTTCCAGTCTATTTCAGAAATATTGTTCCTCCAATTCATTTCAGAACACTTAAGGACGTGACACAATGCAAAGAAATAAGAAATAGAAAATAGAGAACATGGAATAAGAAATAAAAAATATATACAGGATGGCCTATTAGGAGTATCTGGGGAACGAAAAGACAGGTGACAACACTGTAACGATGACTATATTTTAGGCGGATAGAGAATCTTCAATTATCAAAGCATCCCAATTTTCAGAATGTTCTGTCTTTTCGTTCTCCAGATACTTCTAATAGACCATCCACCGTGGATCACCCTGTATATTATACATTTTTGAGGCAGAATAAATGAAAAGAAGTAGGAATACAGTTGAATATTGGAAATGATGTGTCAGTTTTAATAATTTGTGTTTTTTTTTATAGTTTTTTCGAGTAGATTTCGAGTTCATGAAGCGAGATAATTGAGAAAATACACTGTTTTGATTGGTCAAAGGGTTGAAGGAATAAGAAAATGGAATAAAAATTTCGTCATATTCGGAAATATTATTCATTCTTCATTCCTTATTCCTCATGATGTATTGTGTGTGGGGATTAATAATTTTTGTTTCCTGTTCTAAATGCTCTATTCTTTATTTGTTCCAGATTTTCTCGCATTGTCACGACCTTTACGAATAGAACCCAAAACATGACACTTCCAGATTCTCGCTCGCGTCTATCATATAAACTGTCAACTGCCAACGCCATGAGGGTTGATTCGCGATACAAAATGAGCATACGCCACCTAGGGTTTCATGAAAGCGGTCTGTTTACTTTGTTCTCATTGGTTCACATTCATTTTTTGTTTGTGCTCTTCAAAAGCAACCGCTCAGAAGCGTTCAAAGTTGTTACCGCGAATTACTACAGTAACGCCTTGCCCAGAATCTTCCATCATAAAAATCGACCAACACTCTCTTTCTCTCTCTCGCTTACCATGTCAGTCCCGAGATCGATGCACAGAATGGTGACGGTACCGAGCGGTAACGGAATGTCGCAAAGAATAAAGGCCAAGAACGGAGAAATCTCGGGAATGTTGGACGTGAGGGTGTAGGCGATGGACTTCTTGAGGTTGTCGAAGATCAGCCGGCCCTCTTCCACGCCTGTCACGATCGAGGCGAAGTTGTCGTCGAGCAGAATCATGTCGGCGGCCTGTTTGGACACGTCGGAGCCGGCGATGCCCATCGCGACGCCGATGTCGGCCTTCTTCAGCGCCGGGGAGTCGTTCACACCGTCGCCTAAAGCAGGACGGAAGCGGAATCAGAAATGACCGACCGAAGATCGGAAAATCCAAATCTACATGTGTTTTCAACACAGAACTATAACCTAGAGTAGAATGGTTAATAGAGTTCAGACACAGCTGAACTTCTGTCCTTTTCAATTCCATATATTCAATGGTTTGAGTGAATAATAGTTATTTATACACCAAGGTTGCAAATAATATCAGTATTACCCTGGGACCATAATTGAACATTAAGTCTTGTCTTATCAATAATAAATTAATAATATTATGGGGTAAACCGGTGAAATAGGTATATAATATCAAAAAATCCCTGTTATCAAAATAATTGAGCTCCAGCTGGGGAACTGCTGCTGATTACTGATGAAAACCATAAAAACGTGTTGCGAATTATAGCACTGTATTTTTGATTTAATATTTTGGAACACAGATTTTCAGCAGTGTCAGTGGGATTAACTGACAGTACTGATCAGTTGATTCGGTATTAAGTGTTACCAGCAAGGGCAAGAAGCAAATTTGTGCGTAATGAGGCACATGCGCAATAACGTTGTGTTAGGACCGGACTTTTTGATATAAGTCATAAACAAACTACACTATGATATGAGTACAGGATTGTCAGTAGTCAATACAAGTGGATTTTTTACGTGAACTACTTACATTATCAGAAATAACTGTTTTACAAGTTATTTTTTGGAAGATTTCAATTACTTTGAAAACTATTTGACTTCAAAACAGTTCATTGAATGTTTGTAACTCTCACATATTCGCAATGGAAGAGAAATATATTATCATTAGATATGAAATTATTCAAATCAATGGATATCAATCATGATGATTGAATCAGCAGACACTTTTGTTGAAATCAAAAGTCCTACCGTTGAATCGCAGTATAATTTTTGAAATACTCCAAGTTCAAAAAACTCTTTTTCAGCAAAGAATCACAATTTCATTGTTTTATAGCAACAAAGTTTCAAAAAATGTCCATCTTGTGGTTGAAACAAACATTCAATAAATTGCGAATTGTTGTTCCTCAATCTGTTGTCCCAGAGTTATAGATAAGATAAAATATACAAGAAACTGTTCTAGGGCTTCTTATTTATTGAATTAACGAATGAAATTTATTGTTTGTATCAACTGAACAGGTGACCCTCAAACCACCAGGATCAATAAATGGAACTCCAATCAGAATAAAAGCTCTTCAGCAATGAATAAATGTCACAAGGACAGAAATATCATCATATTATAATAAATCTAGATAGGTAGTCAAGGAAGATAAATGGAAACACTTTTCATGATGAGTTTCCGTGCGATAATTCAAAGCTGCAATTTTCTCATTTTCTCGCTACTCCTAAAATGATTGATTCATTAATTTCAGATAATGCCTATACAGGGTGTTTCGAAATTCGACCGACAACGTTTGACAGGTGATAGCCCTCGTGATTTCATAATCATTGAGATAGGAACATTCGGTCTTCAAGTGTTCAGTCCTCGAGATACAGGGCGTTGAAGTTGAGAAATGAAAATAGTTGTTTCGCAATATCTCAAGAATAATTGAATATAATGCATTCAACTTCGGTATATGGTTTCATCTTTGAATGGGCCATTTTTTGACCTGGAAGCCATTCCGGACATTTTGTCCAGTGGTGCCCTACAGGGGGTTGTGGCATTTTTTCCTTCCATATTTTCTACGCCACTGATTGAATTTCGATTATTTCCAATTCCTCGAATTCATTGTTCAATTTTGTTCAGAAAATGCATCACCTTCAACTGAGCTGAAATAAACAGTTTTCGAGATATTCGACCCAAAATAGAAGTTTGCATAGTAATTTTTCATCTTCCTCAGTATTAGAAAATTACGAACATTTTTGTTCTCTCTTTATGCGTGGAATAACTATTTCTGTTCAGCTATAGCATGAGATCTGAATAGTATCTAATCTACTCAACACCAGAAAAATATTTTTGCAATTTTCTACTACTGAAAATGATGAAATATTACTATGCAATCTTCTATTTTGGGTCGAATATCTCGAAAACTGTTTATTTCAGCTCAATTGAAGGTAATGCATTTTCTGAACAAAATTGAACAATGAATTCGAGGAATTGGAAATAATCGAAATTCAATCAGTGGCGTAGAAAATATGGAAGGAAAAAATGCCACAACCCCCTGTAGGGCACCACTGGACAAAATGTCCGGAATGGCTTCCAGGTCAAAAAATGGCCCATTCAAAGATGAAACCATATACCGAAGTTGAATGCATTATATTCAATTATTCTTGAGATATTGCGAAACAACTATTTTCATTTCTCAACTTCAACGCCCTGTATCTCGAGAACTGAACACTTGAAGACCGAATGTTCCTATCTCAATGATTATGAAATCACGAGGGCTATCACCTGTCAAACGTTGTCGGTCGAATTTCGAAACACCCTGTATATCTGAAGCATATCTCACAGAAGATAATTATTTGATTTTGTTATTTTCAAATTGAATAGCTTGCTACTATTACTTGATGAAACTGAATAAACGATGAGACCTGAATAATTCAATTAAATGTTTTCAATGAAATAATTCAATATTGATTATTCTATTTTTTTCTGGAAATTGAATCAGGTCACTTTTCTATCCGGAAAGCGGTCCAATGAAAAAACTCCATCTAGAGTCCGTTTAACAAAACAGTTGAGCATTACGTGGGTTTCTAGGTCTAGTATAATGTTTGGTTAACGTCAGGACGCGAGTGACCTTGAAAGGCATAAAGAATATCCACACTAACGTCACTTCCCGTTGACCTATTGGGTAATTGCATAATTGATGAAGCTTCAAGTATCCTCGGCAATAGGTTGGACATCCCGCAATTAAAGTGAATTGAAGGAGTGTTTTATTATATCCATCGCTCATGTCAACGCAACAATATAACACAACCAATCACTCTTATCTAACTCTCCGCCAAATATTGATAAATATGTCTAAATTTACTACCTACGCCCTTCATACTAACTTTACTACCTTTATCAGGTCTTTAACGAGAGTGATCAGAACCAGAAACAGGACAATAGAACATTCCGTTCGATCATTTCGAGTTGAAGTATCTCAATTCAATTCAAACGTTATTAACTAGTAATGAAATTGAAAGTTCATGCTAGTGAGTTTTGATGCATTTTATTAATTTTGTCTGATTACCAAGAACAAAATATTTATAGGGTTTAGCGCAAATTCAACCAAACCTCATCCGACCCCCCTTAACAACAGTTTTTTTCCCAAGTTCTGACTCTTGGAATCAAAAGATTATTGTGATTCCTCACTACCTTCTCTGTGAAGAAAATATAGATCGATGATGCACTATGACTCAAAATATTAATTATTATCGAAACGAAGCAATCTTTATATGAACATTCTAATTTAACTCATTTCTAATAGAATATTGAATCAGTTCACATTATACGGAAGCTACAACGAAGTTTTCAGGTGACCACTTTGAATCAAGAGCAAGCATTGAATCATCACTTACATCACAACAAATCAGTCTTACCTGTTACAGCCACAATAGCTCCCATCCTTTGACACCCTTCCACGATGATCAGTTTCTGTTGGGGCGAAGTCCTAGCGAATACAATTTCGGTATGGTATCTCAAAATCTCGTCGATCTGATCCGAGCCCAGATCTCTCAAATCCGAACCGTGAACCACAGCAGCCTTGGCTTCCCTTGGATTGACCTCCGATACCGGGATGTTCAGCCTTTGGGCGATGTCCTCAACGGTCTCATTCCCTTCCGAAATAATGCCCACAGACTTGGCGATAGCTTTGGCCGTGATGGGATGGTCCCCAGTCACCATGATGACCTTGATACCGGCGCTTCTGCATTTGGCCACGGCGTCAGGTACAGCAGCCCTCGGAGGGTCGATCATGGACATGAGACCAACGAATCTGAGTCCGTCCAGAGGAAAGTTGGGGTCGTCAGAGTTGAACTTGAAACCGGTTGGGAATTTGTCAGAGGGCAGCATCGTGTCGCAGAAACCGAGCACACGTTCTCCCAGCCCTCCCAGCTCCAAGTACGCGTTGTTGAACGCCTCCTTCATCTCTTCGTCCAATACCTTCTCCTTGCCGCAAATGAAGATGGTGCTGCAACGTTCCAGGATACGTTCGGGGGCTCCCTTCATCACGAGAGAGTAACGCGGGTCATTGGGATCGTCGTTCTCGTGAATGGAGACCTGGTACTTGTTGGTGGAGTTGAAGGGAACCTCGCAAACCTTCTTGTTCTTGCGCCGGATCGACATCACGTCGCCTAGCGCCAGTTCCATGCATTTGAGAAGAGCAGCCTCAGAAGCATCGCCGTTCACCTCTCTCTTGAGGATGGTAACACCGTCTTGCCCGGGTTTGAACTCGGCCCTGTTGCAGAGCGTGGCGATACGGGACAAGGCCTTGAAGCCGGGGCTGGTCCTGTCATACTGTACCCCCGATTGATCCTCGGTGGTGTCCGCTTCGATGATCTGGTTGTCGAACCACATGTGAGCCACCGTCATTCGGTTTTGAGTCAGAGTTCCGGTCTTGTCTGAGCAAATTGTGCTGGTCGATCCCAACGTTTCCACGGCCTCGAGGTTCTTGACCAAGCAGTTCTTGGACGCCATGCGTTTGGCGGTCAAGGTCAAGCACACGGTCACTGTGGCCAACAGACCTTCGGGCACGTTGGCGACGATGATACCGATGAGGAAGATGACGGCGTCCAGCCAATGGTAGCCGAGGATGAAAGCGATGACGAAGAAGGTGACCCCGAGGAAAACGGCGACGCCGGTGATGAGGTGGATGAAGTGGTGGATTTCTTTGGCGATGGGGGTTTCGCCGGTGTCCAGACCGGAAGCGAGACCGGCGATGCGACCCATCACGGTGTGATCTCCGCAGCTGATGACAACCCCCTTGGCGGTGCCTTCAACTGCGTTGGTGGAGAAGAAGGCGAGGTTCTTGGTTTCCAACGGGTTCTCGTGCGTGAATTCGGGACTTCTGCTTTGAGGTTCCGATTCTCCGGTCAGAGACGAATTGTCGACTTTGAAGCCTCTGGATTCTATGATTCTGATGTCGGCGGGAATCCTGTCGCCGAATTTGACTTCGACGACGTCTCCTAGTACTAAGTCTTCGGCTCGCAGGGTGAGCTTCTCACCTTCCCTGAGTACGGTGGCGAATTGGGGTACCATGTTCTTGAAGGATTCCATGATCTTGGAGCTCTTGCTTTCTTGATAATAAGAAAATATACCGGTAACGATAACAACGGCCGCTAATACGACGCCAAGGAATAGATTATCATCTGCTGGTTCTTCTACAGTACTGGCCTGTATACCGTAGGCTATGAAACAAAGGATTGCACCAATCCATAACAGAAGAGCGAAACCTCCGAAGAGATTTTTACAAAATTTCACCCATTCGGGAGTGGTTTTTGGAGGGGTGAGGGCATTGGGTCCGTCCCTTTCCAGATTTTCCTTCGCTTTGGCATGACTGAGACCCTACAAAATCACCATATATTCAAATATTTAGTTGAAATCAAATGTAGTAATTTGTAAAGGCTGAGGATGGACATATTTATGTCCGAAACATGTACCAACTAATTTGTTCTGTTGATCGTGTTAAAATGTGAAGATGACTTCGACTATTATTTTGTAGTTGACGCTTATGACACTTTTCACTACTAGAAGTATTTTAATTCATAATTCTTAAAAAATTTCATTATAAAGAAAATTTGCATCAATGTTATTTGTTCTACAGGGTTCTACAAATTGGTTGTATTCAGGTTAGACTTACATTCTCGGGATGTGTTTGGAACCTTTGATATAATTCTTCTGGTGATATCTTATGATAATCGATATCTAATTCTTGTTTCAGGTCGTCCAGATCATCAGCCTTCCTAACTTTCTTTACCTTCCGTCGAGACTGTGAAAAACAAAACATAGTTAGAAAAATGCGATTTCAGTTTTTTGTTTTGAAAGTTATGAAAATTAAATTTGGGGTATGCTATGAGACATAGAATCAAATTCTTTGACGAAGACCCAACACAGGAACGTCCTGTGTATTTGAATTTTGTAACTCAAAATTATCCCACTTTGGGAAGTACATTAAATGAGAATTATTTTGAGGCACATTTTGACGCAATTTCAAGAAACACGTTCATACATTCATTTTCAACAAATTCAAAGGCTCCTTTTTGTTTGCGTTGATTCACCAATTGATGATTTTTAAGTACTAAAAAGTTGAATCAACTTCTATTGTAAAAAAATAGTGAGCTATATTTATTTTAACTTAACTCATCAGAAATATGCTTTTTTAATGTTCCTGAAATTTGAGTAATCAACCTCAGTTACTAAAAAGTAAAATCAACTTCTATTGTAAAAATATAATGTGTCATATTTAACTAAACATATCGGAACTCAAACTATAAAGACATTGGATATCAGATAACATTTTATTATTTTTAATGTTCCTCACATTTCAGTAATAAAAACGAGTTATATCTAAGTATCAAATTTTATCTGACATCTACGCAGAATAGGTCATAGGGCTCATCTTCTCATCATATTGAAAGCAACCCGAATTTATGTAATTTTTTTACCGCATCTCCCACACAGCAGAATTAATTCCCGCTAGGGAGATTATCAGTGAAAAATAATCTATTCAACTGAAAATGATGGTGTCGATACCAATGCAATTTTATGTCTTATATCCCACAAATTCCATATTCATATCTTCACACCCAATTTTTTTTGTATCAGAAGTCAAATTATCTAATTCTGCGATAATTTCGACCATTATCATTGCACCAATAGATTCAGTTTTTATAATTGAACATTCCGAAAAAATTATCAAATCACGATTCTTTCAGACCACATGTTCCGAGTAATCAAGTATCATTCATTTTTTATCCATATTGACGTTGATAATAGTTATTTATTATACAAGGGAAAAAAGTAGTAGATTTTAGCTCCAGGTTGTGTTGTCTCCCGACGCGTAGCGGAGGGAGACAAAAAACCGTGAGCTAAAATCTAATATTTTTCCCGTGTATAATACACTATTTTTTTCTGTGACAGAAGGAAGGACGAATCAATATTGAGAAGATATTACATTATTTCGAAATGTGAAAATTATCGACGTGAAATTTCAAGTTTTTAACAGTAGGGACACCTGCGTTTTATAGACATCTTTATCATTCTTTTGAAGTAATCAAATATCTGATGTCACTTCTGTCAGTTCAATTCTGTGATTTGATTTTAAAAAATTGCGAATTCAGTAGTTGTTTAGTAGTATACGAAACCGCGAAGTCGAATGGAAGATAAAGGGACTTGCAGTTCTTTCTCGGAGACGGTATTATTGACTCATTTTTCGGAACTATAGCACAACAAAAGCCATTAACAGAGTATATATATGTGATATATATCCGGGAAAAAAGTACTCACTTTTTTCCCACGGGAAAAAAGTAATTTATGAAAAGTGACATTTTATAACCTGCCAACAGAGATGAAATGCCAAACTTTTTTCCCGTCACAGAAAAAACAATAATTATTCCTCGATTAATTCGTGGTTAGGATCTAAAAATATCAAGATCGACGTTAACTTAATCACGAATTATTGGACGAGAGCCCAACAAAATCTATGTCTGAAACTGAGGAAATAGGAAAATTGTATTGAAATTTTTCCCTCACGACCTGCTTGAACATTGAACATACATTATTTTTCCCGATTTTTCCGCATCTGAAACTTGTCAAAATGATTTTTCGATTCTCCTTCCATCCATTAGTTTGAAAGCGACGAGGGGGAAACAACTACCTACCCAAAATGTGTACACCATAATTAAATATGTGGTAATTAAAAAGTACTTAAAATACTTAAAGCTGGGACTTAAGATACTGTTAACAGGTACTTAAATACTGAAGTACTTAAAACGAGACTTGAAAGCTTATTAAATTGTACTTATTGTATTAAAAATTATACTTAAAGTACTTAAAATTCCATGGTGTACACCTATTTAAAGAGTTGTTTCCCCCTCGGAAAACGATTATTTGTGTTCCCTTTATGTCGAGGCAAAAAAATAATGAACGAACGAATTACGTTGCTGCACGCCATTATGGTGATTAAAATTATAATTTGTATTTCTGACTATTTTTCACAAAATCCTATTTGTCGTCCATATTACGAATTAATTGAAGTGACTCAAAGATGTCAAAATTTTAGTTGAGTCGACCTCAATGAAAAATTTTAACCGTACTATAATCACACAGACCCCAAGCCATATATCTATTCCAAATTTTATATAGTTTTCATTGTGACTAATATTTTGAATAGTCCGATAGGTATCACCTAGTGGCATAATATTATTCAAGTTATAAGCCACTTCGTAAAATTGCTTTCAATACAAATGCGACGTATCTGGAGTTACGCCAGTTCGTAAAATGATATTCAAATACGTGCTTCATATTTATTATTTGTAGTTTAAGTAAACGTCAAAGGACTAGACCATACCGGGTGACACAGGGTATCGGGCCACCCCTGTAACTTCTGCATTCGTCAACGGATTTTTCTGAAATTCGGTACAGCTATATAAGCAATCATTTCGGATTTGATAACATTACAATCCAATATGGCGGACTTCCGGTATTTCTGGAAATGCCAGCAACTCTGTTTTTTCAAATGAAACACCCTGTATATTTTTACATATTCAAGTTCAACAGGTCGAAACAAGTGCAATCCTTATTTCAAATGTCATTTTCTCGAAAAAATTTAAATTAAAATTGTTTTTTCATTTTACCTCGTGGATAAATGAGATGTGGTCAAGACTATTCACAATGACTCACACATAACAGAAGAACATAATTTTTTCTGAAAAATTATTTTTTTTGTCACTTATCCAGGAATCAATTCAGCCACATCACTTTTTGATCAAAAATTATTTTTTTTCAAATGGAACCCCTATGGGCCACCTACCCGTCTCTCTAGACCATACATCAAGGAACAAAATGACATATCATTTTTGTTTTTCGGTGCAGTAACAAATTGTATTCATTCAAAAATCAACAACTAGTTTATGAATTTCCTTGCAGTTAGAATAATTTTTCAACTAGGTAGGCTGTGGAATAAATGATATTTGACATCAAGATTGCACTTGTTTTGACCTGTTGAACTTGAATATGTAAAAATATACAGGGTGTTCCATTTGAAAAAACAAAATTGCTGGCATTTCCAGAAAAACCGGAAGTCCGCCATATTGGATTGTAATGTGATCAAATCCGAAATAGTTGCTTATATAACTGTACAGAATTTCAGAAAAATCCGTTGACGAATGCAGAAGTTACAGGGGTGGCCCGATAACCTGTGTCACCCGGTATAGTCCAAGATGCGGTACAAGAAATATGTACCCTCATCTGTTATTTTTCTGTGATGCCGAAAAAAAATATAAAAAACATGGTGTTTCATTTGAAAATAGTACATTATTCATCAAGGGACAGAAATGTAAGATTTTTGCCAAGGTGCGATTTTTACAATGCACCGAGGCTATAGGGAATAATACGAGACTTCTGGCTATGACTATTGGCTTTCATTTGAGCCATTTTTTGATCAAATAACTCATGAGGGTATATACATTACGCTAACTCGCCTGTTTCTACCTGGCAACCCCATAGGTGCCCCTTGGCAAAGATAGGCAACCTATATTTTTCAACTTCCTTAGGGTATATTCTATCAGCTGACACTTTTATAAATAACAAATGAGGGAAGTTCATCAAAATAATGGAATGAAACATATTAATATAAGGTTAATATTTAACATCATCGGCACATGATTTAGCTAGGTAATCTATTCGCAATAAATGATATTATGAATTATATTATATTTATTCTTTATCATCAATAAATAACAGATGGGGGTATATATTTCTTATACCGTATCTCCAACTAATAAGTGAGTGTTCAATTTAAGTTATGAGTAAATTAGATCATTTCATTTCAGAACTACTTATTTATCTATTTTTTATTTCCAAATCCATAAAAAATATTCATATAATCAATACATAACAACTATCTACTATTTTACATCGAAAAACTATTTTCGATGTTTTTCAACGGTAACTGAGAGTATTTCTAGTTTTTCTTTGAACTGAAATAAAAATAACAATAATGATATACAAGTATGTCCCCAAAAATTAAATAAATCTTTAAAACGCTCACCTGAAAAATCATAAAAAGTGAGTTACGACATATTGTAATACATACGACAAAACAATTATGATTTGATTTGCCACAATAATGTACCAAATAAAAAAATAAAAAATGAATACCTTGGGTCTACCATCAGCTGTTTTGTTGTCATCGTAACTGGACGGAATTGTTGCGACTCGATATGAATCCGAGCGGCCATGCTGCAAAACAAGCGACTAACATTGACAAAAAATCTACGAGCTAGATCTAGACATCCACGGATTTTCCATTTTCAGAACTTACCTCGTTCTCCTCGCATAGAAGGCAGAGGATTTTTTTCAGATTTCAAAGATTATTTTAAGCAGGGTTTCAAACAACAATACTAGCTATGTATGCTGACACCATTTTTTGGGAAATTATGACCAGAAAATATGAAAGACAGTATCCCTAGTATGGAAAAGCTCTGTACAGTATCGTGAGGTATACAAATCAAAATTATTTTCATCTATACATACATGCATGAATTGTAATTTTTTCAAATGGAACACCCTGTATTTTTTCACATATTTTACGAATGAATTTCAAAAATAAGGCATGGTTGTGTAGACAAGATAACGACAAATCAAAGTATGTGAAAAAATCATAATTCATATAGTCCCGCATTCAAAAAACATCCTGTAGAGATCAAAATAATTTTGATTTGTAGCTCTCACGATATTGTACTATACATATATTTCTAAGAGTATTTTGTCTATATGTCATTACAAAGGTATAAAGCTTTTCCACACATCGTGGACATCTGGTATAATTATTATATACTTAATGATAAAATATCATGTATTGATAATTAGGTGAAATTAAAGGAGATTATACATGAAACATTTCTACTGAAAAGATCATAAAAGGAGTATAGCAATTGGAAACTCTAAATAATCTGAAGGAAACTAACTCATTATATGATTTCAACAAAATCGAAACAAAATCGTTAACATGGTAGGCAGGTATTACAAAAAACAAATAGACTACTTACTATGTTTCAATTTGGTTGGAGAATCAATAAATACAATATCTTCCTAGTAGTGTCACACGAAAAATGTCTACGAAACTAGTATTTTTCGAGTGACTTCACAATTGAGTGCATGCAATGATTCAAAAGCTAAAAGCAGTGCTGCAACTGACTATGCCTACCTCAAGAAAACTATTTTTTCAACATTTTTCATTTACCTATTGATATGGAAAAATAGTTGATCCGAAAGAAAAAACTTCTCGGTTTATTTTTGTTTCTTTTATACCTACCTACGTCAAGAATATTTTATTTATATCACGATTGTGTCAAGGTGAATTTTTCGGATTCATAACACATTTTCTATGAATGTGTTTTCGGTTTGTTAAGGAGCAACAGTTATCAAAACCAACACTGATTTTGAAGGGATAGGCACGAAGGGCACATTGAACATATGAGTGAATGATTAGATATTTCTTATTGTCAGTGTAGACAATAAAACCTGGAATACAGAATAACTACATCAGAACAGAAAACTTTTAGAATTTGTCGCGAAAATAATCCTAAATTTTGGTTCGAAGCGACTTCCAAATCAATCGTTTTGATATCTTGCCACATTTTTGAGATATTTTAGCATATTTTAAAGTTTACCCCCAAACCAGTTCTCACGTGATATCATGTCTAAATCAGTATCAGGTCATATTGTACATACAGAATCGATCAAACAGATTTCTTGTTGGATCGATTGTGATTTGTTTTGAAATAAATGTAAATGATGAAAATTGGAAACATAAACGGTAAAATTATGAAGGAATCTCAACATTTAATATTGTCGATTTCAAAGCGCCATCTAACGAAACTTAAAAAGAGTAGTATATTGAAGTATAAGGGTGCATATCCACGAATATCTACTTGACGCAATTTTCTTTTATTGGTACACTTTGAGTTCATAAATATGAAAATAACCAATAATGTAAAATGGTTGAACATTTGTCACTTAAAATTACACGAGAGCTTTTTTTTTTTGTTGAAGTAAACTTGACATGTATCAATAAGAATTTTGTTGCCTGGCAATTTGACGAAAAAAATTACGAGTCCGTGGGTAGAGTAATTTTTTCTGGCAGTTTTTTGAGTCGAATGGCAACAAAATTCGAATTATAAATGCCAACTTTACTTCGACTTAAAAAAAGCTAGAGTGTAATTCGGTAAGAGAATCAAACATTTGTTTTTCAAAAGTTAAGTTTATTGTCGTTGGAAAAGTTAGGGCAAAATTTTTTCGCTGTCATAATGACAAAATCACGCGGCTTGTGGGATTTTTCATACATGAATTGAATTGTCAGTGATATTTTGCGTTTTGTTAGATCGATAATTATAGTAGATTATACCACGAGTCAATAATGATAGCTATTATTCTCGAGGATTTTTTACGAACCGAGCCGCGTTAGCGGCGAGGGAGTAACATTCCGAGAGAATAATAGCCATTATTGCGAGTAGTATACTCTACTTTATTTGCGACTAATATATAAACTTGTGGTTTTTGAAGTATAATGCCATATATTAATCCCGCAGGGAATAATGGCGAGGGATTAATAGTCTTTATTCCCTGCGGGATTAATATATGGCATTATACTTCAAAAACCACAAGTATAATATATTAGTCGTGAATAAAAAAGATTACATTCACTCCACGTTTCTTGAGTCGTTGATGTTGCCGTGAGTTAACGTGGTAACTTTATTAAAAAACGCGCGTTTTAAGGCGTTCTTTAAATAATAATAGTAGGGTTTTTGATGAAAAATTCTCTATTTCGAAATAATAATCTCGTAGGATGTATTGGATATTCACATACATTTACAGAGAAGCAAAAATAATATACTGAAATAGATTTCATAAAGCCAAATATATCAGTAAGCAATAATCGCTCAAATATTGTTTGTAAGCCACATCCTGTTTTCATATTTGGATTGATATCTAATGATTATTTCAGGAAATAATAAAATACTTCTTTCCTAACAGAAACTCAAGCAAATCACGAATCCTAGATAAAATCTTGTAGTTCAAGCAATATTTGATTAAAAAGGATTGCCAGATTCTGGAGATTCAAAAAATGCCACGCTGAGTGCTGACGAAACATTTTCAACTCAAGGTAAAATGCATGTAGTTAATGTTGCATACCCTTTCATACGTAAGTTCAATATACACGGGTTCATACTATGAGCAAAACAACATGTCACAAATAGGTAAAAACAAGTTCCCAGACTATCTACCCACCACGTTTAATTTTAGTTGACTTTCTCAATGAAATTCTAGTTAGCATACTGCCGCAAATAGCATGAATCCAAGCTTTGGGATCACAATATAAAAAAAAGACGCAGCAGAGTTTCATTCAACACTAACTATATTGTATACAGGGTGAGTTAGCATAAGACCAACAGAATACGTTTTCAAATTCTTCACTTCATTTTGAGGTGAAAAGCATCAGCATCCCAATATCAAAAAATGTTCAAGTGGTTGAAAAATATGTTGAGAAAAATTGGCATTATAAGATTGTGGTACTTTCGTCAATATGTCGAAACCCATTTAGGTATGTGCTAATTTATGACTCATAGGGCGAGCATCAACGAGCCAAACAACTGATATTAAACACTAATAAAGAACATATCAAAGAAAATATGGTCAGGTACGATTGTAAGGTTCACAAAAATTCAAAACAAAACCATTTTCCTACAAAAAATTAAATCATGAATAATTTCGTATTCTCGACATACCTTGATAGAATCTTTTCAATTAAAAATAAAGTGGGGAACATAGAATTCAAGATTGTCGGTCTTATTTCGACTTACCCTGTACAATGATTAAATGTTGTCAATATCTTCTCAAGTCATATATCCACAATACTACAAAGTATTGTGGATACATTACATACATACTACAAAGTATTGTGGATCCAGTTAGTTTGGAAATTTATGGTTGTAGGTCAAAAGGTGAGGTGCACAATATAGACAGATATCCAACCCCAGGGACAGTAGATATAGAACGTCCTTTCATTGAATACAGTATTGCGCATGTCTTGTCGATTTCCCTATATTTCTCTCTTGCAATATTCCTTCCGAGGTTCTTTCTGAATATATACATTTACCAATATGTTTTCAATACTGCTCACAGACCATCACCATAGCGCAGATCAGCATAGGAGAAATACAGGGTGTCCGCTAAAAGGAGGTCAAGCCATTCAACCATATATTCCTTGAACAAAAATAATATGAGTTTCTAAATACCATTTTTCATTTTAGCCCTTCTTATTCGATATACAGGGTGTCAAAGTTGAAAATTAAAAACTGTTTTTTTCTAATTACTCGCGTAATTAATAAGATATTAATCTCAAAATAGGTACATTACTTCAGCACAAAGAGTTACATCGTGTGAGGAAAACAAAACAGAAAATAACTGTCAAATATTCAAAATACTGGGGGTCAAGTACACACTTACCCCCATATTTTTTTTGTACGTGCGCTAATGACTTCCTATCTATTTTTCTTCATGTGTTCAATCATTTTTGAGTATTTTTTGATTTTTGTAAAATTCCGATAAAATTATTTGTTTTTAAGATAATTCGAAAAGTACTGGTTATTGTTTGATGCCTTGCGGCTTACGGTAATCTCATAATGTTCACATACTCCTATTTATTTCGTCGAAATTGGAAGAGGGCGTATCTTATTACGTACGGAAAGGTGAATATGGAAATACCGGGTGCTCAGAGCGAATGTATTGAAATAATTTTTACACTTTTTAATTTTTTTTTTTTGTTGTAAAAATTATTTTAGTACATTTGCTCCGAGCACCCGGTATTTCCATATTTATCTTTTCGTACGTAAAAAGATACGCCCTCTTTCAATTTCGACGAAATAAATAGGAGTATGTGAACATTATGAGATTACCAAAGCCGCATAGGCATCAAACAATAACCAGTACTTTTCGAATTATCTTAAAAACAAATGATTCAATCGAAATTAAACAGGAAACAAAAAATACTCAAAAATGATTGAACACTTGAAGGAAAATAGATAGGAAGTCATTAGCGCACGTACAAACAAAATATGGGGGTAAGTGTGAACTTGACCCCCAGTATCTTGAATATTTGACAGTTATTTTCTGTTTTGTTTTCCTCACACGATGTAACTCTTTGTGCTGAAGTAATGTACCAATTTTGAGATTAATAT